TAAATCCATGTCATTCTTGAACAATCATCAATAAAGGAGACAAAATACTTGTACCCATTATAAGACTCTATTTTGATTGGACCCCAAACATCTGAATGAAYCAAARAAAAAKGACTCAACATACGACTCTCAACTCTTGGACTGAAGGACACACGAAGGTGTTTACCAAACTGACATGACTCACATTGTAAAACTGACAAATGACTCAAAGACGGAACTAGTATCTTGAGTGCCTTGAGAGAAGGATGTCCCAATCGACAATGCCACTGGGACATCCTTTCTCGTAGCAATAGGAACATCAAGATCATTAATGATAGGGGAATCAATATTGAGAGGAACAGGCATATCAATAGGAGCAAGTGTACCTGGCTAACGAGAAGGATCTGCCTCTAGCGAATCCGATGATGTTGGTTGCATAGTATCAAGTTCCACGGCTCTTGAACTTTGCTGGCTTTTATGGCGGCGATGAAAGACACGGAATGGAGGAGGATCGGGTAGAGGAGGTAGTTGAGTTTGAGCCACCTGTTTCTCCTCAACCCTACTTTCCCCTTGAGGACAAGTCAAGAAGAAAGGTTGATTCTTCTTGGCAATAAATCCAATTGAAATATGAGGAAGTAGAGAAGATAAGGGAAGAAGAGAGAAAAGAAGAAGAAAGAAAGGAAGAAGAAAGAAAGGAAGAAGAAAAGGTTTGGAGCAATGGAACAGTGCTGGCGGCGCCAGCTTCTATTATATTATATAGGGCGGCAGAAATAAGAAGGGAAAAGACTCTTGTGGCCCTGCTGTAAGTGAGTACAATAACAGAAATAACACAAAATAAAAAACGCTTTAACTAGCCAAACAAACCCTAACACAAATAACTAAATTATTTCAACACTCCCCCTCAACTTAGAGCATAGATGTCAATCATGCCCAACTTGTCACACAAATCATTGTGCTGCACATGATGAAGACCTTTGGTGAAGATATCTGCAAGTTGTTCTTCTGAGCTGACATATGGAGTACACACTTCTCCATTTACAAGTTTCTCTCTAATAAAATTCTTGTCCACTTCAATGTGTTCCATCCTATCATGCAGGATTGGATTAGCAACATTATTGATGGCAGCTTTATTGTCACAGTAGAGTGACATAGGATTGCTCATAACCTAGTTCACCTAACAGATTTGTTATCCACATGATTTCAGCAACCCCATGAGACATCGCTCTATATTTTGCTTCAACAGTAGATCTAGCCACCACACTTTGTTTTTTACTTCTCCATGTGACCAGGTTTCCTCCTACAAAGGCACAATACCTACTGGTAGACTTTCGGTCATCAACTGCTCCTGCCCAATCAGCATCAGTATATACTTCCACCTTTAAGTGTCCATGTTTCTGGAACAACAAACCAGCTCCGGGAAACTTCTTGAGGTATCTAAGGATCCTCTCTGC